GGGGGCGGGGTTGCGGGGCCGGTGGCGGGCCTGCGGGGTTAGGCGGCGGGGTACCCGGGGCTGGGCGGCGGCCGGGGTCATCCGGTGGTGGCGGGGTTGGATGGCCCCCGCGGCGGGGGTCCGGGGGCCGCAGCCTCACACCGGCTTTGCCCCCGGGGATCCCCGCTCGACAACGCTGACCGCAACGATGGGGATAGATGACGAAAGGTCGGTAGAGATCGCGCATCGGTGGAGAGAGATGGAGAGAGGACCCGCAACAATGGTAGCGATGCCGCAGCGATGGAGAGAGAAGGCACAACGATGATCAAGATTTGTTATTGCACAACATCAGTTCCATCGAGTTAAACCTTCGTTAAGCATACCTGTCACCTGTTTCCTGCGTTTCCACAGTGATGGGCGGCTGCACCGACGACGGCCTGAAACAACAATACAATGGCGATGGCGGGATCGCGCACGAGTAATGGAGAGCATCTGGGGCAAGGATGGAGGTTGCCCGGTTGTCGAAGGAGATCGCTCAGTGATGGAGTGAGATGGAGAGTGATCACTCAGCGATGGAGGGAGATCGTGCGGCGATGGAGAGAGAAATCGCGCAGCGCTGCGATGGGATAACACTGGCCAGGGCTTCGATAGCGATGGCCAGCGCTGCGGTGGAGAGCGATGGCGCGGCGATGGAACGCGTTACAATGCAGCGATAGCAATACCGATGGCAGCGATGGAACAGCGATAGCGATTGCGCAACGATGGCGCACCAGTGGAGAGCGATGGCGCAGCGATGGAACAGCGATAGTGATTGCGCAACGATGGCGCACCAGTGGAGAGCGATGGCACAGCGATGGAACAGCGATAGCGATGGCGCAACGATGGAATAGCGATAGCGATGGCGCAACGATGGAACAACGATAGCGATAGCAATGGCAGCGATAGCGATGAGATGGCGCAGCGATGGAACCAACGTTGCGATGGCAGCTATGGTACCAGCGCTGCGATGGTCAGGCGAGCGCGACGGCTGCGATGGGGGATATAGCTTTGCATCACGATGGCGATGAGCTAAGCGCATCGATGGCGATGGTGCATGGCGAGCGTTGGCGATGGCGATGACCTAAGCGCATCGATAACGATGGTGCATGGCTAAGCGCATCGATATCGAACGCCGTTGACATTTGCAAAATGTCCGAATGACAACGACACCGGAACTTATAGATTTCCGGCGTTTTTGACCTCGGCGCACAACGAACCACCGCGCGTCGACGGGAAATAAACCGTCGCCTGGCCTCGACGCGCAACGAACCACCTCGGCGCACAACGAATCGCCGCACCTTATAGATTCTTCCGCCTGACCTCGTGCGTCGGATCATGCCGATCAACGGTCCAGATTACAACTGCGAAAATGACATTGCCTCAGAGTAGACAGAGATTTTGGGGCCACTGGCATAACAGTGGCTCCGTTCGTCTGCGGGGTTGAAAATTGTTGATCGACAGCTCACAATTTTCGGTACCCCTTACCGTTTATAGGCCCTGGCATTTTATGGGCCCAGGGGTGCGATACGCGAATCGATTCGCGTTTTATGGGCCCAGGGGTGCGATATGCGAATCAATTCGGCCCCACCTTGATCCCGACGCGAGGCCTGCTGCAACAAAGTATAAAAGGCATTGCAACCCTCGAGTTATCCCTTTTGTTGGCGCTCCACAGATCAAGTCCCGCTATCGCTTCCGCGCGCATTTTGATATTTGGTCTTCAGCCCTCCCCACCTTCCGCCATAACCCGCTCACTCTTCGCTCGTCGCTCCGTCCGCAGTTGCCACATTGTGTTCGGTTCGCTCTTCGCTCATCGGTCTTCGCTCTTCCTAGCTCGATATCCCTCCACCATAGCTGGTTTGGTGGTTGGTTGCTGGCTCAATGCACGACAAAGGTAAAATCATATAACTTGAGTTGTCCTGTTCTGTATCCGACGTCCGAACACATTCCCAGATGCCCTGTCTGTACCTGCAGGATATAACGCCGCAGCCGCGTTCTGTTGAACCCCGAATCAATTCCCGGTTTTGTTGTCTCGCCAGTGGACGTGCTCTGATCTCTTTTCTCCACCCTCCACCTCCGTCTGCCATAGCCGATCCGCGTTCCGCAGCTCGATTACCTTTCGCCATAGCCACGATAACGTTCGTATAAAGTTGCTCGATCCCCTTCGTAACTTGCAGTCGTCGCTGCGCATGGCGAACCCCGAATCAATACCTAGTTTCAACACTGAACACCAAATCAATTCGCGATTTTGGCTCACCTGTCCCTTGTGAGGTCGCGGACCTGATATCTACATATATATATATATATATATATAAAGATAGAGATACATATATGTATATATAGAGATATATTGCTACACTGAACACCGAATCAATTCTCGATTTTCGCTCACCTGTCCCTTGTGAGGTCGCCGACCTGATATATATATATATATATATATATATAGATACATATAAAGAGAGAGATATATTGCGAGTGAGTTCGCAGTTTGTGACGTACAGTGTTCGAGGAATGACAACTGCGAGGTTATTCGCAGTTTTCCCAAGGTTAGACACATATTTCATTGAAGGCAGTTCTTTATTTCCACAAATGCGAGTTAGTTCGCACTTTTTGAGCAACACTGCTGGAGAGTTGAGAACCCAACCCGTGCGACTTTCAGGTCTTCAGTTCCACAATTTCGAGTTAGTTCGTACTTTCCCCTAGTGTTGCGCATCGCCATTATTGTCTTGTCTACAGAACTCCGAGTTAGTTCGCACTTGTTGAAACCCTTCGCAATTGTCGATAAACCAGGACTTCAGTTCCACAATTCGGAGTCAGTTCGTACTTTGTCGTTGTACTTCGGGTTGCAATTGTAGTCCTGTCAGCAGAACTGCGAGTTAGTTCTCACTTGTCGATTCGCACTTGTCGATAAACCACATCTTACTCGTTTCGTGCGTCTTTCAGGGTTTCAGTTCCACAATTCGGAGTTAGTTCGCACTTTTCCCTAGTG